TATTTGTCAGGCTAAGGAGGTGGAATTAGGGCATGGGGCATGGACTCCCTTGCCCCCAATCCCTCCTAATACGGTGTTGGGTTGGGTTAGGGGGTGAGATTAGTAGTCCTATCAGCCTGGTTATCATTGGCCTCAAAATTAGGCGATAACTAATCCTGCTTCCCCCCCTCAAATAAACAATCCCAACCACTGTATTATCTCTTTCTTCTTGGAGACATAATTATATTGTCAAAGATATTAGAAGATATGGAGATATCAGAATATATGGAGACCATATTTGTGCTTTTTATGATTTTTTGTATCTTTGATTTATTTGAATTCGTTAATTGAAGGGATTTGATTGTATCTCCCATTATATATATGGTGTATCATGTAAACAAGAGTATTAAGTTGAGTGAATGAAAGATGTAGCCCATAAGGCTTTGTGTGTGTGTGTGTGGATGTAGGCCAATATTGGCTGAACCACGTTAAACCTTTGTTCTTTGTTTTCTCTTTTCTGTCTCTATTATTTCTTCATATTCAACCTTATTGCCTTGTTACAAAATTCAACTCTTCCCTCCATCCAACAACTAGAATAATCCTCAAAACTTTATCCCATCTTTTTATCTCACCATAAACAAATATAGTACAACTAGTCCTATGCATATATAATGTTAAAATTGATGTATTATTGATTGATTGATTGATTGTTGTTTATTACAAATGGTGAGGGGCTCCTTATATAGGAGATGTAGTGGAGTAGGTGGTAGTAGGTGGTAGTGGTAGGTGTGTAGTAGGTGGTGGTAGGTGTAGTAGGTGGAGTAGGTGATGGTAGGTTTTAACAGCCCCCGCAAACTCAAGGGGGATAGGAACTAACCAACTTGAGTTTGGAGAGAGTAACAAAACAAGAAAATAATCTGAAAAATAAAAAATGGATGGGAGACACTGTATGGTCGTGTCAGACCGTTGTAGAAGACTGTATGGTTATGGCAGACCGATGTAGAAGACACTGGCTCGTGTTGGACCGATGTAGAAGACAGTTTATGGGGTCATGTTGGACCGTTGTAGCAGACAATGGTGTGACAGTTGTTGTGACAGTTTACGGAGTCTTGCTGGACCCTTGTAGAAACTAACCGGAATCAATGTTGGGACAGTTTACAGAGTCTTGTCGGACCCATGAAGGAGCTAACCGGAATCAATGTCGGGACAGTTTACAGAGTCTTGTCGGACCCCTAAAAAGTCGCACCCTCAAAAGGTGTGCCCAATCTGTCAAAAGGCTCTCGGTGCCCATTCCAATCGCAAATCCAAGCTTCGTCCCTTCATCATCTCCCCCTTCCATTCCCGTTACAGGTCTCCTTTCTTTTCCTCTCTTGATTTTCTGCTTCCGTTTTTTGTTTTCTGAAATAGGGTTCGCTTCAATAACATAGTTTTTTTTTTTTTTTTTTACTATTTTTATATGTGCATGCATGTGTTCTGTGTTTGTATGTCACTCAAATGCTTTATTAATTTGCATGATTTTGTTCACATTTCGGTTTCCTTTTTTTCACCTTTCGGATGCTGATGTTATTGCCGTTTGCTTATTTTTTGTTTATGGATCTTGTGAAGCCTTCAATTATTATTATTATTATTTTATTTCTTTTTTGTGTTGTTTGATTTTTGACATCTACACCAAGTATGGTTGGCTTTATGCAATAGTTAGATAGTTAGATATAATCAAATAATCAATGCAATTAAGAGGAAGTAGAGAACATAATGCTTGAACTGTTTTTTGTGATGATTGGTAGCATCAAATTTTAATAGGGAAAAATCTTCAATGACAAGACCCGAATAAATTACAACTGATTCTTGGTTGGAATGCTAGAATTTTGCTATTCCAAGAAAGTAGTTTTTGTGAAATAGGATTCTGAAAACCATAATCATTATGCTTCAAAGCCAATGTTTTGGGGGAGGGCCTTCATTTTGAAATAGTAATTGATAGACTTCTTCATTCTCAGCCACAGTTATGCGGTTACAAAAGTTTTGTACCAGTAGCAGAGTTTGCATAGGAGCAGAGTTCAGAAGAGCCAAGTTTCCATATTTCCACAAAGCTAATGGAAATCAAGCATAGTCGGTAAAAAAGCAATATTTATTGGACTGTTTAGGGAAAAGAAAAAAGTGTTACACAACTTCATTTTCTGATTCAAACTAAAGAGTGTGCTGACATTACATAATATAATATATAGATAGTATAGATAATGAAGCAAAATTTACTCGAAATGATTTTCTTGATTGCAGTTTTCACTTAATTGGTACAATGATCATGCGAGGAAAAAACAAAAAAAAGGGGGGAAAATTTTTTTTTTTTTTTTTTTGAAAGAAGGAAGATAAAATAAAATAAAGAAAATGGTATAGTGGGATCAGACGGCGTGGTGTGAAAGTGGAGAGGGTTGGAGTAATAATATAATAAAAAGATATATATATATATATATAAAATAAAGAAAGTAGGGAACATGATGATAAGGGTGTATATGGATGTGATAATGAGAGTGAAACAAACTTGGTGGGTGTGATTAAATAAATAAAAGAAGAATGGGTGGACAAACCTTGTGTTTCGTTTTCTTTTAAAAAGGATGGATTAAAATAAATATAAAAAAAGGAAAAGAAAGTTGAGTGGGGAACAGGAGTGATGCAGACAAGCCCAGTGATCATGCCTTGGACAGCACCAATGACAGAGCTTTTCTTGTAAACGAGCATGTCCAGAGAGAAAAGGACGTGGGATTTGAAAGTGGAGAGATGAGAGAGAGAGAAAGTGGGGTACATTATGATGATGTTCATCTCGTGTGCCTGTGCTGTCTGTGAAACTTTGTGTGAGTATGGCAGTCTCTTGACCAGAGGAATAAACCAGTCAACCAAATCACTCTCCCTCATCTGAGATCCAATTCTACACAATGACTCAACGGCTTTGTTGACCGCATCTTTGCCCAAGACAAAGCCCTTTGCAAGCATGCTGCTGACTACATCCTCCGCTTTCCGAAATGCAGATTCAGAACTACCTGCAGTTTTATTTCCTGTTTTAAGGGGTGGTCCTGAAGCACCGGGTGGAAGCTGGTAATCTGGATCCAGAGTTACAGTGACAGATAGATCAACTATTGTTGCTCCCGACATCGCAACTTTTTGTAACAATAAGATCAGAGATCGAATAGTAGAATGAGAGATCGACAAACGAAAAGCAATCGCCGGAGATAGATACACAAGTCTCTCCTCTTCTGCTCTTCGGAGGTGTGGAAGCGGCAGGAAAGTGAAGGTATGTGTAGAGGTCCGGCGGGCGGCCAAGGCGAGGCTGCCGCCCGCTGGTGAAGCAGAATTACTAGTTTCTTAACCTTGCTCTGATACCATGTTAAAATTGATGTATTATTGATTGATTGATTGTTGTTCATTACAAATGGTGAGGGGCTCCTTATATAGGAGATGTAGTGGAGTAGGTGGTAGTAGGTGGTAGTGGTAGGTGTGTAGTAGGTGGTAGTAGGTGGTGGTAGGTGTAGTAGGTGGAGTAGGTGATGGTAGGTTTTAACATATAATATCATCCATTATTTCATGGTATATAATCCCATGGTGTGTGCCCTAGTTTACACTAAAATCCCATCCCGGCAAACAAACATGGCTTAAAAGCATTCAACATTTGTAGATAAGCATCTAGCTTTGGCTGCTGCCAAGATAGTGTTGCAAACTCGCAAACAAGCATGGCCTTGTGAGTATGATTCCTAAAAATTTACCTTCTGACCTACGTTGCAAGTTGCAACATGGAAAAGAAGGCTTGAAAATCTCATTTCCCCCATTTTCTCCATTTTTAGGTTCATAGTTAAAGAGATATATAAAGTTGTTCTTTTCCTGAAATCTAGACATTAACATGCAATTATTAATGTCTTCATGGCTGATATTGTGTCATTCTGTGGTATATTTAGAAACTTTCTGATGGATTCTCAAAGATGTGGTGACCTCTCTCTCTCTTTTGCACTTGAAAAGATATCTCCCTAACTGCTAGATGTTTTGTTTGGTATTATTGTGTATGCATGTGTGTTGGCAAACCACATCCTTGTTTTACAATTGCAATACACGAACCTGAGTCAAAAGGCCTTGCATGTTTTATGGAAAGGAAAAAAAAAAAATATAGATAAGTAAACCTATCATGTATCTATGCAATGATCTTTGATCTAAGAAGCACAGACACCGACACGTGACACGACACGGACATGCGGACACATAAATTTTCAAAAAATACAGGACACGACACATTGGGGACACGTGCAAGAAAATATAATTTTATATATTTATTATATGTCATATTTTTAAATATTTAATATGTATTTTATGTCAAATATTTAATTTTATAAAATTTATCAACTTTATGTATGTTATTCTAGTAAAAAAATTAATTTTTTTTTCCAAAAAAATAGTCCTCAGCGTGTCCTCAGTGTGTCCCTACTTGTCCGCAACATGTCCATAGCGTGCCCGACACTCGTACGTGACCTCCGGAGAGGTGTCCGTGCTTCATGGCCTCTGATAGTGATAAAATGGAGCTCGTTGTACGTTTAGCTGACTTGGTTTAATAGGAGTAGATTACAAGGGGCAGCATATCATTAAAATTTCCTTCATAACACGGCAACTTGAAAATTCCTTTCCTTGAACATACCAGGTTAGAGCAAGTGATGTTTTTTCTTTCTCCACCAGAAGGTTTCCGTTAATTCTAATAGTGAATTCATCTTTTTCTTTCTGTAGTTTTTCATTTCATTTGCAACTTTTGTTCAGCAATTTGCAGCATTTTTTTTTGGTTTTAATTTACAGGTGGTAGGTTATGAAAAGTGACACCTTTGTTAAGGCTGAATTGTTTTGTTTTTGTAAAATCATTTAGGAGAGGGTGTTTCTGCTTTGCACTCACTTTACTGGACAAGGTGAAATTGAAAAATTTAAGTTCTCAATGTAAACAATAAATTTCTGCATTTTACTTGCTTGTTTAATTGACTGATGCCCTTTGTATGGTATAGGATCTTCACTATTTCTACCATGGGCTTGGATGGAAAATTCGTAGAACTGCAGCATGAGGATGGAACTCACCAAGGGCGGGCTATATGCTTGCATGCTTATTCTGATTTATCCTGTGTTTCTCCAGTAGTTTTTTTATACCTATTGAAGGAATGTTATGCTTATGGTAAAATTTCTCCCCATCCCTATTTTAATTGTTCGCAGGCATGATTCTATCATAACGGATGTGATTCTTGGAATGATTTATTGTCACATAGAGCAATCAGCTCATGCTTTTGTTGTTCTTCTTTTCTGTTGAACAGGAAATCGTTCTTTTTATCATACTATTATTATAAATTAAAGACAAAATTGTTTAGGTAAGTATTTGGATGTTGTGGCTGGTTAAGATTATTTCATATTTTGATCACTCTTATTATAGAAGTTGGCTATGTTGTTTCTATTTCAAGGTTCACCATAGAACAAGCCTAAGGGGCTCTAGATTACTGTGGTAGTGCTTCTTCTTCTTCTTCTTCATTTTTTTTTCCTGATCCCTGATTTTGCAGAAATTTTGGGGAAAATTCCATTCAACATATATACACTTTGTAAAAATTGATGTATAAAGAGAAATAGAGAATTGTATTATTGATTGATATGTTGATATTTATTACAATGATTCATGATTCCTATATATAGAAGAGGGTGAACGTATTTAATGCGTAGCATAGCTAACCTCCTTTTAGTTTTTGCTTCAGTGACTCATATCTAAGCATAGGATATTCAGCAAGTTAATTAGACATTCCAACATGTGGTTGGAATGTACCATGCAATAAGAGTGAATTGTGGTATACTGGTAGAGTGACCAAAATCTTGTCTTGGTTGGATTAGTCTGATTCATTAAGCTTTTTATTGGGTTTTAGATAATGTTTTTAGTCACGCATAATACATGTTGCAAAGTTGTAATCTTTTGGCTTGGACGTACTCGATCAAAGGGGTTAAAGTACCCAAACCACCATACTTTTCAAGCCTCTCAATAAATATCTCCAAAAGATTCCATTTGCAAGTTGAAACACATTGGTAACATTAAATTTGAATATGAAGCCTTGTAGAGAGAAAGAAGAAATTATTTGTCTATTGAAAGTTGGGGGTTGAGAGCTCAAAGGGTTTAAGATAATAAAAGAAGAGGAAAGAGAGGAAAACTATGGAATGGAACAACCTTAAAAGCCTTGAATGGCTTTGCGGGACCATTTTTCAACACACACACACCAGGATATTTGCCCCCCCCCAAAAAAAAAAAAAAAAAAGAAAAAGAAAAAGAAAAAAAGAGCTAAAAAAACATTCAGTAGAATTGATTGGAATCGACCTATCTGTTTGATTCATTGATTCACCGATTCATGCTTGCTGTAAGTTCATCCAACCAATTCGTATCAATTAGAGTTGAATCCACTCAAATCGTAAGATTTGAATTGTGAGTCCTACAATATTAACAACTATGTTATGTTCTGACTGCTTCTTGGTTCACTTTTGTCATATGCTCTAGCATACTTTGTTCTAAATTTTGAATTTGATAGGCACATGCAAGGCAACCAAGAAGTTCCGTGCTCTTCAACAACAAGTTCATCAAGTTCTATACAACAGTCCTCAACCTGGACCAGCTGTTTTTGTTGCTCACTGTCTCTATGTCTTGCCTATTCTTGAAGAATATTCTGAAGGCTTCAGTCACTTAGTAATATCTGCTCTTCGTCGTTTTCTAAAAGTGGGAACTACCTCCGAAGACTTGCTTGAAGCAAAGTCTCTTGCAGCCCGGTTATTTCTTTTTATTGTTGGTGGCAGTATAATCCATGATGAGAGGGTTCTCATAAAGATGCTCGAAGTTTTTGAAATCAGTATGATAAACATTGAGAATTCCATGTGCAATGCGGAACTGAACAGTAGTGGTAGTTTAGAATTGGCTAGAACATTTGTTGACAAATACATTTTCAAGTTGATAGAATCCGAGTCATACATGACAGCAGTCACTCTATTGGAACATTTCTCTATCCGCCAGTCTGGAGAATCCTTCCTAATGAAAATAATGCAAAACAAAGACTACAGAGCAGCGGATAAATGGGCAACATTTATGGGGAAGCCAATGTTGTGTGTACTTGTTCAGGAATACTCTGAGAGGAAGCTGCCAAAGCATGCTTATGATATTATAAAGAAAAACAATCTTCGAAAAGAATTTCCAGAAATATATCATAAGTGTAAAGAAAGGTGCTTTCTATTGCTTTTGTTGCCCTCTAGGCCATGCCATATGTTTCAGATTTTATATTTTGGTACTTGTGGTGGTTTTGTAAATTTTTAAAATTTTCTCTCCCATCAAGATTAACAGAAAGGATTTAATCAAATTGCAGCTCACTGAAGAAACTAGCAGAAAAAGGATGCTGGGACGTTGCTGAAGCAAAGACGAATGGTGATAAACAATTTCTTGAGTATTTGGTAGGTAGTTTTTAACACTCACTACTATTGAGCTCTGTTTGAAATTTCTAATCTTAATGAGTGCATTTCAACTGTTGTAAAACTGTTCATAAATTCTCATGTTGTGGAACTTGCAACCAAATTTTATGTATTGACATGTGCCAAGGAAGAGGCTTGGTGGTGGGTATAGAATAATTTGAATTCCACCTAACTACAGCTACGACACAGATCAAGCTGCATACCTGGTCTTGAATTATGGGTTCATTCCCATTAATACTGAGTGGCCTTGAGTCTGCTTGGGTTAGGAAGACATACAAGTTGGTTGATCTACCTGACCTTCTAGCTGCCAATGCTTCTGTGAGTTGGGGGTCCTACATTCATTGGACATCTGAACCACATTTTGGGAAAGCTATTTATGTGAAGCACTTTGCATTCCCTTGTTGAGTAATTTCTGAAGTTCTTTTTCTTTTTGTTGCTATGATTATTGCTATGGGAAGAATAGAACTCAGAACATAATTAGCAAAAGGAACATAAGACTGGTGCCACTCTTAATGTTTTACATTTATATAGATGCTCTTGAATAAAAACGTAGTCTTTAGATAATTGTTCAAGGCGATTTGAGGAATTGTCACAGCAGTTCCAATAATTGGTAATGTAGAATATATTTCTCTCTCTCTCTCCCTCCTTTTCTTTTTCTTTTTTCTTCTATGTATGTAGATATATTTTGCTTTCTGGTAAAACTATAGCAAATTCATTGACTATGCACCTGTTTATCATTGGAGAACCCATTTAGACTGCATGTGGATAAATAACTGACATTTTTTTTTTTGGGTGTGAAAAACATGAAAAAAAAAGGTTTATTTGGCAATGGAAGCTGGCTACCCTGAGAAGGTTGACGAACTTTGTGATCGATACTCCCTCGAAGGTTTCATAAATTTCAAAGGTTTTTGCTATCTGTTCTTTTTCCATTAGTCATCATGCATATAACTTACTGGGTATGCAAAACTGAGTTTATTAAACATGCAAATAAGATAAATCTTAACCTTTATGTCATTGGATTTAAAAAAAAAAACTTAATGTACGACATAGCTTTCTGTACTAGTATTTACTGTGTTTCAATTAATTGTCAAGCCCTACAAACTTGTTTACGAGTGAGAAGCAGTGTTGCAACATTTTGAACTCTGAACTACAACAATGTTTGTTCACTATTTTTTTATTTTTTATGTTTTTGTTCGTAAATGGATACAAAAATTCTCAATTTGAATCTCTATTGAGATTCCCCAATATATTAACTAAAAAGCTGTTTGAAACAAGCCTTTTAAAACTTTTGTTTCATTTTTTTTATTTATTTCTGTTAATTGCTTTTATAGAATGAGGTGATCTTTTAATTTATATTGGGAATGATGGAATTGATTCTTATATGTCAATGGTAAAAATATCCCCAAGGATCGGTTTGCTTTTGGATTTTATGATTTTTACTATTGGCTTCATGACTTCTCCCATAGAGTTGACAACAAAGATCCTGATTTTGCTCTTTGTTGGGGCAAAAATGCTAGAGATCCCAAAAATTCTACCAAAAGTTTTACCAAATGTCTCACATGGGTGTGGGACCCACATGGGACCCACATTATGTGGGTCCCACACCCATGTGAGACATTTGGTAAAACTTTTGGTAGAATATTTGGGGTCTCTAGCATTACTCTTGTTGGGGTCTTGATGTTGATTGGAGGGAGTTGCATTGATCTCTGTAGTTTTCAATATCACCAAGGATTACTCACTCTTGCTAGATTTGTATTGTTGGGAAAAATACGCACCCAAGCAATTAGGAATGGCAACGGGCCAAGGATTACACTCCCCGTCTCCGATCCCCCGAATGTAAAAAAACTCCCTGTCCTTGCCCCCGATCCCCTAAATGTAAAAAACTCCCCGTCATTGTCCCCGATCCCCGGCGAGGAACCAATCACCCCCCGCCCCCGCCTCCTAACAGGGATCGGGTTTTCCCGATCCCGAAAAATCATCGATTTATTTATTTATTTTTAATTCAACAATCAACAAAATTCTCAAATTAGTTGATATCGTGATACGGAGCATCTCCAAATATTCAGTCAATCACATCGAGCCCATGATACAGAATCAATCTCACCCCTTGCCAACTTTTACAATTCAAGCCTTTTTGCACATTCTTGCCTCCTCTCCATCAATGCTGGATCTTCATCTAACAATTATGCAAGCTGTTTAGCCTGAACAAGGCAAAACATGACAACGTTATCAAATAACATCAACAGCGTTTCATGGAAAAAAGGATTTGCATCCAAAAACAATTCCAGAAACATTTATCATGTTTGGTTGTGTTTTTTAAAATTAAATCCCATATAATAATTTTGGTAGTATATATTTGAACCTATTCAACTAAACATAGTGCATCTTGTATAACTACCTGTGTGCCCCAAAGATTGAAGAAACTACATAGAAAACTCTTTACACACACCCAGTTAAACACAGACAGAGACGGTACCTCTTTCTTGCCAATTTGAGTGTAGAAGTGGTTGAGCAATTACTGCTTGGCCTCCTTAAACTTATTGTCAACTGCTTTGGGAATGGTGCTCTTCAATGTCTCACACACCATGCCCACATAAGAAGACACAGTCGACCCTATCTTGGCCTTGATTGTTGCATATCTGAGTTCACTTTCGCTGAGATCGGAAACCCTAACCACAACTCTCTCTCGCCGAAGACAGCAAAGGAGGAGGGAGATCGGCGGTGATGGGAGGAGGGAGAGGAGGACAGAGGAGGAGGAGGGAGAGGAGGACAGGAGAGGAAGGGAGATCGGTGGTGATTGGAGGCTTTTAGAGAGAGAGGGAGAAAAAGATGAGAGGCGGTGTGTGAGTGTGAGTTGTGTAATTGTGTTTTAGGGTTTGGTTTATATATATAGAGGGGTATAATAGTAATTTCACATCAAGGACGGGGACGGGCCAGGGTTGGGGTTGGGGTTGGGGTTGGGGCTGGGGAACTTGTCACTGTCCCTGGCTCGAAATTTATCTGGGATTCTTTTCGAATACCATCCCTGGCCCATTGGGGGTATTTTTCGAGAAAACCATTTTAATCGGATCGGGGGGGTCCCGTCAGGTCGGGTTCAAATTGTCATCCCTGTAGAAATTTAATGTATAAAGAGAAATAGAGAATTGTATTATTGATTGATTGTATGTTATTGTTAATCTATTGAATGTTACAATGATTCCTATATATAGAAGAGTAGGTGGTAGTAGGTGGTAGATGGAGTAGGTAAAGTGGAGGTGGTAGGTGGAGTAGGTGAAGTGGAGGTATTGTTATTTGTCTCAACCTCACACCCCACTACACACTGTTATGATTCACAGTGCACAAACAGCGAAATCTTCCTTGTAACCCGTACATCACTTCATATCTTTTAGTATATAGATTAGAAGGTTGAGTAATAATAGAGAAACACCCTTTGAACCCTTCCAGTACAATTGCCGAGAACAAGCTGCTAATTTCTCAAGACCAACCATTCACTTCTCCAAGGAAGCTGCATATACCAATACCTCATTTCCAACTCTCAATGTTGGTGGCTTCTACACTTCCCAAACCAAAACGTGTTGACACTTGATTAATGAAGCTGTTGGAAATCCTCTTCACACCAGCAATCAATTTATCACAATAACAAAGTCCTATGTACAACAAATGGCAACTAAACACTAAATCCACTATCATGAATAAAAATAGAAAAAATAAAAAAAAACTGAATCCACTGTATTAGAGATATTATCCTACTAGATTTGCCCCCCCCCCCAAAAAAAAAAAAAAAAAACCATTTTCATTAATTATTAATTTATCATGAACAGAAAAACCCAACAGGAATGAGAGATGGAAAAGCAGAACATAGAGTAGGGATGGAAGTGCTAGCTAGGGCAAGGAATCTACCTTTTCCCTCTACTGTTTTAGTTGAGCAGGAAGAAATGGAGTAATGCCAGATTTTACTATGGTACCCTTGTATATTAAATGGAAGGTGTAGTTTGAAGGCTAAAAGAGCATTAAAGTTGGAGAATCCCCTTCCCTTCCCCTCATTTTCGCTATTCTTGGACAGAAAGGAAATGGTGGGCCCAGGGGTAAGTGTATTACACCTTTTCTTTCCCTTCCTCTGTTCTCCATAACGAATGAAAATTTCCCATCCATCCCCCTTTAGTTCTGTCCTCTCCATCCTCCCATTCTTCCTTCATACCAAGTGGACCATATGGACTACACTAACGGGGCAATATGGCTACTCTTGGGATTTGGTCATCAGGCATGTTGCAGTTGTGCTAGTGAATAGTCCTGTGTCATTTTATTCTCTCTCTCTCTCTCTCATCACATCACACCACATTACATCACGTGTATTTTCTTAAGCTTTTGAGATTCTTTTGTGTCATTGGTTGTTGATCTTAAGCACCTAAAGTCATGTCATCAGCTGCAATTGGAGTCAGGAGTTGGTGTTTGTTGCAAATAAGAAAGAGAGCAGTAACCACAGACTGGGAAGTGCTGCAGCGGTGCAGCTCAGCTCAAGTTTGTTTGCCATTTTATTGAATGATGTGAAAAATATATGGTAGATTAGCATTGGTATTCATCATGCTTGGTTATTACAAATATCAGAGAAATTTTCTCTCCCAGGTTTTAGTCAAGGTGGATCCACATGGCTTCTAGATTTCAATAAGAGGTACTATATTGTTCTCATCATAATCTTTTCACAAAATCTCTAGTTACATTATGTTCTCTATCCTTGTGATATCTGTAATTGGCAATCTAAGCTTGACTTTTAGGGAGAGCACTTCCTATGAGCGTTGATAATAAAGTCATCTTTAGTAGGAGTTTTTACCCACATCATCTCACATGCTGTGTCGTAACTGTTGCTTGTCCCAACTCCCTACCTTTTACGTACCCACATCGCTGATTTATTCCTTTCTATAGTTGTTAAGTTGCTTCCAACATTCATATATTTTTTCATAAATTAAAAGTACTTAAAAGAGATCTTTTAATTGGTTGAAAAAAATTAAAAAAATTTGGTACTAGAATACATCATTTTCAAGTTCTCGTTCCATGTAGGACAAACAATTTGGGATGGATGGAGTAAGATTTAAGAATGTGCTTGGCAAGAATACTGCATGAGCTTATTGGTTACATCTTATGATCCATGCGGACATACAGATGCAAATGAACTTGCAAGTCTTCGCTTGAATTTAATCCCCTTGTTTTCCTGTAAACAAGTGGAAGCTCTCATATTTCTTGTTTTTCGTATCGGCTGCCATAACTTATTTTGTACTAAGTTGACACTGCTTGCCTCAAATGAAATAAGAGGAAACAAATGGTAATTCAAGCTTCCACTTCAAGATGAATCTCTTTTTCTTTCCTACTTTTATATTGGAAAAATGGAAGTGCTGACCTTGTCAGTTTGTTGGTAGGAAGGTTGCAAAGTGGTCTCTGGCTCCACTAACAAGAAGTGACTACCTTAAAGCTTGAACTGGCTTATTTGCAGTGCCAACTTTTTTAGCCATTGGTTCAGGCAGTTGTCCTTACACAAATGTACTGAATTTATTATTTTTCTTAGTACCAAGGGAATAAATATACCAAGAAGTCCCCTAATCATCTGATTGGCCTATAATCGATTCTCTTTTAACCTTCTCCAATCATCTTCATGCGGACTCCCTTGTTCAATATAGGAATTAAAGTATATAGAATCTTTTTATTTTTAGTATTATCTATATAATCTGTGATTGTGTCAATCACTGATTTAGTGCCGCCTTTATATCGTTTTCTAAATTATATCATGAATCTATTATATATACATGGCATCTATCTCATTCATTGGTAAGCAAAATCATTCTTTTCATCCTTTTTGGTATCAGAGCCAAATCATAGAAACCCTAGTCCTCTGCCCAGCTACTCTCAGCACCGCCCAACCACTGTTTCATCTTCTTCCTTCCTCTTTGAGTGCCGACAGTCCCCTTCCAGCCCTCTATTTCACCCTACAGCCCCACCCAGCCAGTCTAGACCCCCCGAAACCACCTACCCAACCCTTTACGCCCCTCAACAGGCTGCCCTAGTGCTGCCGAGGGTCTTGTGGGTTGTTGATCACGGTGTTTCCTAGCCATAGATGCTTCAGCAGCTCTTCTAGGGCAGTTCAGTCCCTGTTTTTTAGGCTGTGATGCTGATGTAATAACCACTTTTTTGGCCTTTTTTTATTAAGTGGACTACTAGATTTGTTCGATAGTATTTATTTGAATTAGCCGTTGAGTTTTTTTCCAGCTTCTCGTATTTTTCTAGACTGTGTTGTTGTGATTTTCTGTTTTCCAACCCTTATTCATCCACCATGACTGGCCCATCCCTTGTTGCTTCCGATATGCCCACTAAACCTGTCCCAGTGACTTTTGATTTTTCTCTTTCTTAACACACTCCTGCTCATTGCATTACGAGTGTGGTGTTGAATGGAAAAAATTTTGCTGCTTGGGGCCGCTCCCTTAAACTCTATTTAGGAGGAAAGGGAAAGGCCTATTGGCTCTCATTTTCTCTTTAGCTTGCAGGGACAGATCCTACACGTGCCCAGTGGGATATAGATAATTGCATTATTCTAAGATGGATGTTCAATTCCATGGAGGACCATATTTACCACATGTTTCTTTATTATGATGCTCATAATGATGCTCGCATCTTTGAGCTCTATCAGGATATTACTTGTACCTCCCAATCTGCTTTAGGTCTCTTTGTGTCAGAGTTTTTTGGATACCTTTGGACTTGTTGGAAGGAATTGGCTCAATATGAACCCTTAACTGAGTTACCAGCTGGTGCTGCTGCTCTTGTGTCCCGTTGCCTTGTTCGTTAGCATACTTACCAGTTTCTAATGGGTTTAAACTCTGAATTTGAATCTCTTTGAACTCAGATTTTAAACACATCGCCTATGCCATCCCTTTATGAGGCCTTTGCCACCATTGATAGTGATGAGCATCATCGCGTTTGGTTCAACCCACTACCACTCCAATGACTCCTGTCTTATCTGACCAGATGGCCCTTGCCGCAAACTCTAGTTCTTGAGGTTCTACTAGTTCAATTACCTATCATCATTGTGGGGCTTCTGGTCATGTCAAGGCTCGCTGCTTCAAACTTCATCCTGAGTTACGGCAACGATCTTCTTGCCTTCGTGGTTCTGGCACATTTTGCACTGCTGCTTTAGTGGAGGCCTCTCATACGTTTGGGTCTCCGAGTGTTCCTATTTTACAACAGTTGCAGACTCAGATTAGCTTGCTTCAGGATTAGCTTGGGACTTTGACCACTAGTTCTTCTAGCTCATCATCCTCTACTACTGCTACTCTTGCTACAAGTATTTCTACTGCTTTTCATGTTTGGACTGTTGGTCCCGCATGGGTTTTGGATTCTGGAGTTAATGATCATATGATGGGTGAGTTTTCCTTTCTTTTATCTCCAGTTCCTACTACTACAGACCAATATGTTTGTCTTGTTGATGGGTCTTTATCCTCAATTCGTCATAAGGGTCAAGTGTCTTTATCTCCTGATATTACTCTATCCACTATTTTGCATATTTCTAATTTTGCATATAATTTACTATTCGTTAGTCAGTTTGCCAAGTCTTTCAATTGTGCTGTTATTTTCTTACCTTCTTCATGTTTGTTACAGGACCTGAATTCGAAGAGAATTTTTGTAAGGGATATGAGTACTATGGACTTTACTACTTTGGGGATCTACCGAACCAACCTCCTTCTACTTTAGCTAGTTTTCAGGCGTCTGTTTTGCTTGCTTCTATATCTTGTGTTTTTAATGTTCAAACTTCAGAATTGTGGCATGCACGTATGGATCATGTCAATTTTCAGTACTTATGTCAATTTTTTCATTTATTAAATAAAGTTTGCAAATATTCTAAGTTTTATTGTGTGGTTTGCGAATTATTTAAACATACTCTTACTAGTTACATACCTCATATGACTCGTGCCCCTAGTGCTTTTAACCTTATACATTCCGATGTTTAGGGTCCGTCTCTTGTTCCTGCCTTATATGGCCATAGATATTATGTTACATTTATTGATGACCACACTAGATGCACTTGGGTATATTTGCTCCGTCGTAAGTTTGATGTGTTTTCCATTTTTGTTCAGTTTTTGTAAATGGTTAAGACTTAGTTTCGTACACTTGTTAGTAATATCCGTTCTGATAATGGTGGGGAATATATTTCTAATGTTTTTCGTTCCTATCTTAATCAAACTGGTATTCTTCAACAACTTACGTGTACATGGACTCCTGAGGAAAATGGTGTTGCTGAACGTCAAAATCGTCATATTTTGTCCGTTGTGGGGTGTCTCCTTCATGGTATGAGTGTCCCTAAGTCCTATTGGCATATGGTTGTCTTCATCACTATCTATCTTATTAATAGGACCCCTAGTCGTGTATTGCAGGGTTTATCCCTTTTGATGTTCTTATGCTCCACACTACTCTATTTCCTCTCTTACCCCGTGCCTTTGGGTGTACTTGTTTTGTTCAGGTTCGGAGTCTCACTCGTACAAAGTTAGATGATACATCTATTCGTTGTGTCTTTTTGGGGTATTCTTCCATGTCAAAAGGGTATAAGTATTTTGATCCTATGTCTCATCACTTCCACAAACTTTGGATGTTACTTTTTGTGAGGACCTCCTATTTTTTGGTACTAACCCTCCTTTGCAGGTTTCCACTCCCGTTACTTCTAGTATTCACCCTATTCCTATTTTGGACGAGGTTACGGATGAGGTTGTCCCCCCTCATTCTGTACCTTCGCCTCTTTCACCCCCCCCATTGTAGGTATACTCTCGTCGTTCTCGCTCTCAGCTCCCCTTTGCTGTTTCTTCAGTCTTTGGGTCAGGTACTTCTTCTCCTTTACATACATCCCCTCCACCTCCTCGTCATAATCCTGTCATGACCCAAACTCGTCCCTAAAAGTTTAGGTTATAACCGGTCAGTAATCACTTGATTACTTTCGGCCTCATACAAGCATACAAAGTAATTATAATAATGGGGCCATAAGCAGAAGTATACAACAACGAAGAAGTCCACTGAGCTGTGCCACTATGAGCAAAATATAACACATTCACATCGTTTACATGCCCATGCAAAAATGTAAGTATCATAGGAAATTTTATACATCTTGATTACACATCCCAAGACCAAATAACAAAAATAGAATAAAGTCAACGCATAATGGGAGTCAAAGGCAAAACTCCGTCTCAGAGGTATAACTCGATAGGTTCACAAAATAGCCTCTGAAACTGACTCTAAGGGTGGGCTACATGCTGTAGATCACCTACATGTGCATACATAATATTGGGTGAGCGAAGCTTAATGAGTAATAATACGGTAAAGCAATGTAAATAGATGATCATAAGGTTCTCACAATATCCATAATCATAATATGAAACGACCTTGGGCCCATCATATAAACAGGACAGCCTTAGGCCCATTACATATGAACAAAACGGCCTTAGGCCCATTAATATCAGAACGGCCTCAAGCCCACATAAGTACATAACGATTTCGGGCTCACATATTAACAGAATGCGCCTCGGGCCCACATATTATACAGAACGGCCTTGGGCCCAAACATATCATATCTTAAACGGAAACGTCCACATTGCACATGTCATATAATATTTATGAAGTTCATTCATTTTGATCAAAACACTATGTCGGCACCATTCACCATTCATAGCTCGAGGTACACAATTAAGAACATGTATGTACAATATTATTACTCAGAGTGCGTTAGGTCTTGCGGTGTTTCCTCTGGCACACGACCTACACAAACATTTCATACACACATTCGATGAATAATCCGTTCAATTCATGCACTTTCTTTCATTAATTCGTTTTACGATTCGTTCATTTCTATTCATCTATAGGCATTGTGGAGGGTCAAAACATGCTCATAAACAAATTCAGAGGATCGGGGAAGTTAACAGAAAAAGACAGATTTTTTCCCCTTTTTCCACACGTACGGCCCGCACATGCATTTATTTCAGTAGCAGAGTTATGATTGGCCTTGTTTTCCCATATGCGGCTGTGAGCCCTGCACGTGCGGTTCTAGCTGTTCTGGGCAGTCCAAAGCTGATGCAAAACTTAAGCTTCTAAGCTCAAATTCAAGCCCCAATTCATGCAAAACAAATTCAAAAACATGATATACTAACATGAATTAAGGGTAATTACAACTCAAACACATAAATCTTGCCTTAACATTAAGGTCATGGTCTCATTTCTTTATTACATACATATATTTCATACATAAGCTCAATATACCTACAAACATGGTGAATCTTCCAACAAATCTTGATTGTATGAACCAACTAGAGTTTATTTCATGAATTAATCATAAGATTGAACTCATATCAAACAAAAATGAAGAGATTAAGGTTCTATTTTTTGCATTTAATTCAACCAATTACACAACGCAAAACCCTAGCTCAAAATTTTCAATTTCTTCTTGATTTCATGCCAAAGATGAGCTAAAGACACATTTCAAGGAAATTTCATACCTTAACTTCAATCTAGGGTTTGCCCTTTGAAACTCTAGCAAAATCCTAGCTTCTTCTCTTCCTCTCTCTCTCAAACTCACTCTTTAGCAAGTCTCAACATGAATGAAGAACACAAGAGGGCTAGAGATATATAAATTAGGCCAATTAAACATTACGAATCGTAAATTTTCAAAATTTCACTGAAGGCTCTAAAAGTCATGCTAATCATAGATATGAAGTCGGTTTTGGTTTATCACACCTCTAAGGCTTTCAATTTTCAGTTCAAAGTTCCAATTGCAACAGATTTTCCTACATTCAACAGATATTATTCTAAATTCACATAATTTATATACTTAAACTTGCAAATTCATATCAAACACATAATCACATGCATAATTAAGCATAGTACGGGTTGGGTTATTGTAGAAAATTTAATGTATAAAGAGAAATAGAGAATTGTATAGATATTGATTGTATTATTGATTGATATATGTTGTATATTACAAATGGTGAGGGGCTCCTTATATAGGAGATGTAGTGGAGTAGGTGGTAGTAGGTGGTAGTGGTAGGTGTGTAGTAGGTGGTAGTAGGTGGTGGTAGGTGTAGTAGGTGGAGTAGTTTTTAACAGTTATCGCAAATCCCCCTCGGGATCAACATCCTCCAAACCGTTGGGGTTGTTTGAGTCGTACTAATCATCCTATTTCTTAGTATCTTTCATATGATAGGGTCTCGCCTACCTATCGCTCTTTTCTGGCAAGCTTGAATCATAGGCCATTTCTTGTTATGTGTCAGAGGCTCTTCAGAATCCAAAATGGGTGGAGGCTATGCAGGTTGAGATGACAGCGTCAGAACAAAATCATACATGGGATCTGGTTTCTTTACCTTCTGGCGAGAGCACTGTGGGTTGCAAATGGGCATTCACTATTAAGTATCTAGTTGATGGCTTCGTTGATTGTTACAAAGACCGCTTGGTGGCCAAGGGCTTCACTTAGGTTCCTGACAAGGATTTTGGAGCCACTTTTGCCGCTATTGCCAAACTTACCTCGGTTCGTCTTCTCATCTCTCTTGCTGCATCCCATTCTTGGCCTCTTTATCAGCTTGATGTCAAGAACGCCTTTCTTCATGGGGATCTTCTTGAGACGATTTATATAGCACCTTCTCTTGGTTTTCAGGTTGAGGGGGAGTATTCGGGAAAATTTGTCGATTGCGCTAGACTTTGTATGGCTTGAAACAGTCTCCACGAGCTTGGTTTGGTCGTTTCAGTTCTGCCATTATCTCCATAGGGTTTGTTCAGTGTCACTCAGACCATACTTGCTTCATCCATCGTAATTCAGCTAGTCAATGTATAATCTTGTTGGTTTATGTGCATAATATTATTCTCACAAGTGATGATTCTGTAGGCATTGATTAAGTAAAAATGGATTTGAGACACACCTTTGATATTAAGGATTTGGGAAGTCACAAGTATTTTCTTGAGATTGAGGTGGCTCATTCATAGCAGAGAATTTCCTTCTCTCAGAGAAAGTACACTTTCGATGTACTTCAAGATATTGGTATGTTCTACTATCAAAATCTTACAATTCGCTATTCGATTCATGATTTGATTTGCAATTTTTGCAAAATCAATACGAATCTATTAGTGAATATATTTTGAAAGTGAATCTCTAGTGAATTGCACGATTCACGATTCGATTCACTTTATACGATTCATGTCATTTTTGAAATTATTGTGTCGACATATTTTCGACTCTTTTTTTCTTCATCTTTTTAGCGAAAATGACATAATATAACTTCTAATAGCGTTTAATACCAAAATAACCAACATATATACGTAATTTGTTGTTAGTTTAGTGATCATGGAGTTTTTAATAGGATCCAGGTCAGTTAGACTCAACATATTTTTAACCTTTCTTCTCATTTTTTTTCCTTTAAAATTGGTAATATATCTTCTAAATATGTTTAGGATTAAGGTTACATTATGAATTATCTATTGCTATTTTATTAAATTGAATATTACATGTGTGAGGTCAGTTATACATTTTAAAATGTTTTAGACTTTAAAATAAAAGATTCTAAATAATTCTTTCTTATTATTTGCTCACTATTAATTAGAGAAGTATGTATGCTTATTATCCAAATATCAATATCGTTGTTAATTATTGTTACATTAGAAATTGATAGTTTGTCTATTTGGTTATTATCTTTATTAAGAATGGTTGATAAGAAATATCTAGGAAAGAAAAAAAAGGTAAGATGGTGATTTTACATGGGAACCTTTGTTAACTTCTTACCTATTAAATTACGTGATTATCATTCAAAATAACATTTTTATTGATTTAAGTCTAAATATTTTATATTCACAAGATATATATAACATCTAAATGTGTAGTTATATGTTTTTAAATAATTTAGAAAAAGTGGCCGAATCTTTATGATTCACGATTTGATTCGATTCGCGATTCAGTACGAGGCCATTTTGATTCACGATACGAATCCCGATTTGACAACTATGTTGGTATGTTAGGGTGTAAACCTGCGTCTACTCTTATAGATCCCTATGTCAAGCTCACAGAGTCTGGCGAGTTGCTAGAGGACCCAGGCATGTATCAGCGTCTTGTTAGACGTCTAATTTATTTGACCAACATTAGACCTGACTTGACGTTTGCGGTCAGTGTTGTTAATCAATTCATGCATACACCTCGTACAAAGCATCTTGATGCGGTTATCATATTTTGAGATATTTGAAGACCTCCCATGGCTTAGGATTATTCTTTATAGCCGCTCCTCAATCTAGGCTCTCTTGTTTCACTGATGCGGACTATGCAGGATCTAGAATTGATCAGCGTTCTACTTCTGGCTTCTATACTTTCTATGGTGATCATCTTATATCATGGAAGAGTAAGAAGCAAGCAGTTGTTTCTAGATCCTCTGCAAAAGTTTAGTATCGAGTTATGGCACAGGGAACATGTGAGATTCTATGGATTCGTTATATCATAGCAGAGTTGGGTTTTGAGGAGACTGGTTTTGCCTCCTTATTTTATGACAACAAGTCTACTATTATGATGTCCTTTGATTCTATCCTTCATGAGCGTACTAAGTATATAGAGGTTGATATTCATTTCATTCGAGAAAAGGTTCGGACTGGTATTGTGAGTCCATCATTTGTCTCTTCCTCTTAGCAATTAACAGATATGTTCGCAAAGTCTGTAAGACCGACATTGCTCCAGTCATCCATTGGCAAGCTGCGTTTGTTAAATATCTTCACACCAGCTTGAGGGAGAGTGTTGAATATAGGAATTAAGTATATAGAATCTTTTTATTTTTAGTGTTATATATATAATCTGTGATTGTGTCAATCACTGATTTAGTGCCTTGTTTATATCGTTTCCTAAATTGTATCATGAATCTATTATATATACATGGCCTCTACCTTATTCATTGGTAAGCTAAATCATTCTTTTCATCATTTTTTTGTTTCATGACCTTTTTTTTTTCCTATAAAAATTCACGTTCTTCCCCCAAATTAAATCAATTTTCATCTTCTTTCTCCTATTATTGTTGAAGATATTCATTTAATTGTCCATATATTAGTTATGGTCATCTCATAAGCATTTTGTTCTTGATTGCCTGGTATTTTGCATAAAGAAACGGTACATGTTGCACATCTTCTTGAAGTTCAATTATTTTTTTCAATCTCTTATTGTCAAATGTATGTTTATGCATTTGATTATTAACTTTGTAAATGGGTAGGTTACTAATTACTAATTTTTATGTTGTGCAGAACCTGAGACAAGCCTTACACAGAATCGCTATTTGCAGCTTAATGAATTGGATTTAGAAGACATCATTTGGGTTGATGAAGTCAATGGTTTGCGTAGTGCGACATGCCATATTGAGGAATGCAAAGTTGTGGGCATTGACTGTGAATGGAAGCCTAACTACGAAAAGGGAAGTAAACCAAACAAGGTAATTTGGATGATCGTCTGCCAGCTTCCCCCAATCAATATCCTGCCTTTCCCCTGATCCATTAATTTGCCAAGGCACTGTTTCTTCACCTTTTTTTTGGTATCAAAGATACTCTTGATATGATATGTGTTTTAATAAAGGAAACTGAATAGAGAGTGAAATATTGGAGTTTGAATATTATGTGACTAGAGGGGATGTGAATAGGCTAACCAGTTAGAATTTATGATTATTTGTTCAATTTTACCCTTTAATCCAAGTAACACATTAGAAGAAGCAATCCTATGAAGCACGGGTACTCCAAAAATGGTGTTGTACGAGTATTGAGTACTTACCGGGTGCAGGCATGCATACCGGTATGGCGGTACGCGTACTGAGTACGCCAAATACATGCCGGATATGGCAAATACATTTGGGTACATCGTGGGTACGGCAAATGATTTTTTTTTTGGTGCAGATGCTAGAATTTATTACAGCCTTTATTATTCTTCTTTCAATTTTGAAAATATCAAGTAATTTATTTCCAACACTCTTTACCCACGAGTCATAGTTTTGCTCTCTTTTGTATCCTGTTTTAGACAATCAAAAAAGAAAAAGAAATATTTATTTAACTTTTTAGACAAGTTATTTTCTTTTTAGTTTTGATATTGAAATTTTGATTTGTATGTTGGATGTTTAGTTATAAATTTAAATTTTTTTTTTTTTAAAATTGACGTACCCCAGCCGTACCCGTACCCGTACCCTACTTTTTAAAAAAATTTCCGTATCGACATATCCGTATCGTACCCATACCCACACCCGTGCTTCATAGAAGCAATCACACGAGAACAACAGATATTATGTGAAAAAATCTTGAAGGGCAAAAACCATAGTCCAAACACAACATAAATCCACTATGAGATCAAAGATTACAAGACATAGCCGAGTGGACTTACAACCGTTACCTAGCTTTACCTAGCACCGATGACTTGTAGTTACTCCACGAGCATAGCTTGACTGAGTCAGCCTTCTCAATCTTCTAGACATCATGAAGTAGCAACCTCGATCTCTGTTGTTGAACGACTACGATTACCCTCCGGCCTTGAGTGTAAAATGAACAATGCACGGATATGCAAAGGTTTTTAGGGTTTTTGAAAATCAACTTATGAAAAATTCTCTCTCAATGATCTGAATATATGCTTAGAATTTATCTAGAGTTTAAAAAATTTTGACTGTGAAAATACAATGGTTGGGAATGTGAAAAACTAATTTTGGATGTCTTTATATAGAAAATTAGTTTCCAAAACCATTTTAGGAAAAGGTTTCTTAAAACCGGAGCTACGATTGATCGCAAGTGATAAAGCAATCCGTCACCTCAAAAAGTGATCAATCTCTCATCAATTGCTAGCTACTGTTGAAAAATTATTTTGAAGCGATCACTTACCAATTGATCACTACAATCTTCTTGAAAAAAACAATTCAGGCAATCACTTGCCGCTGTTAAAAGCGCGATCGGTTTCTATTTTGCATACGTTTTTCAAACAAGACTTTTGTATATCATTGAAACTCTTTGTTCGAAAAACCTTTTTCAATGCAATGAAAATATGTATGCAAACCTTAACGGGAAATGGAGTGATGTTTCCAATCTTGATATGCTGGACTGACTATGAGAAATTACCAAAATGCCCTTACACACTAAACTAGCCCATTACAGTCTGGTTTTGATCAAAAAAATTGCCAAGACAAAATATTCTGTTACAGAGAGTTCATGAAATCACCACAAAAATCTATTCTGCATCCACAGAAGGAAGAAAGAAGGTTAAATATTTGTCTTTATACTTAAATGTTTTGCACTTCAACTGATTTTTCTTTCCACTTGTTTGTTCTTTGTATTGACAATGCAATTATGTTCATGTTGCAGGTTTCTATCATGCAAATTGCTTCTGAAAAGATGGTTTTCATTATTGACCTGATAAAGTTGTTTGAAGATGTTCCTGATATTCTAGACAACTGCCTTACCCGCATTTTGCATGCTCCTCGAATTCTAAAGCTTGGTATGAAAATTCTCAATGTTGTTATTGGGAGAGTTTGACCCTTTGCAATGCTATGTTCAAAAGAAAAAGTACTTAAAGAAGGAAATCTATTTCTTCTACATGTTTTCACACATATGTTGATCACTTAGGTTCCAAATGAAAAACAGGTCTCTGTCGTCCCAGATGACTTCTCGTTTCACCTATAGAAATAATAACTAAAGTTAAATGTCTTCTTCAGTTTGTTCTGGGTAGTCAATATTTGAAGTGGTGCCCTTGATGTGAGATGATAGATCCAAACCACCATATGTTCTGATGTTTATGGCCACTATTAAGTCACGGCAGGGAAACCTGTAACTCTGAATGGTTCTCTATTGACTATTAATGGTGTATTCAATTACCGAAAACTAACCAGTGGTTTATGTTCCTTGTAGGCTATAATTTTCAATGTGATGTGAATCAGCTGGCTCATTCTTATGGGGAGCTTATGTGTTTTAAGCATTATGAGATGCTGCTCGATATCCAAAATGTATTTAAAGAACCCCGGGGTGGTCTGTCTGGGCTTGCAATGGTAATTTAAAAGGATGACCCTAACCTTGTTTGGTGTCCCATTATTTACCTGTTCTGGGAGAAGACACTCCCCATGGTCTTAACCTTGTACCTTCTGTTTGAGAACAGGAGAGATCACTGAAGCTAACAGCTAGTGGGCTATTTCATTTTTCTTTTGAGTTTCTTCTATTTTTTCCTGTTCTATGAATGGAGTTGCCTCTCCCTCAAATGACTACTGAGTCACTCGCTAACTTATTTTCCCCTCCTTTTTGGGTGGTAATTAATCAACTAGAAAATATTGGGAGCTGGTTTGAACAAGACCAGACGGAACAGCAACTGGGAACAACGGCCTTTAACTCGGAATCAAGTATGTTGTTACTATTTGTCTGTATTTTAAAATTCTTTAATTGCTTAGCAGCCTACGGTTTTGTAGAAGCCTTCTTCAATTGGTGGAAGATTCCCCATCCATTGTTGTCAAATCGTGAATTGTTTTGCTAAAATAGTTAATTGTGAATTGTATGATTCATTTTATTTAATATTATATATAGTACTATATATTTAAATATATATAAAAAATTCAGTGTTTAAAATAAAATAAATTATCATTATGTCTAAATTATATATTTGTATACATATAAAATCATGTATATCAATATAACTAATTAATCTCTTCTATATATTTTCATAATTTGGCAAAAACAACGTTGTTCCATGCATTATGTAAACAAAAGTAGAAATAGAATTGAATCGCACTGAATCATACGATTTACTCAATTTCCGATTCAACAGCATGATTTGAATCATTTTTGTTGAAACTCGTATCAAATCGTGAATCTTACAATTCTAACAACCATGCCCCTTCCACTTCCAGTCAGTAGCATTTATACATTGTCCTTGTGTACTGTAAATAATGCCTGATCTGATGCATACTAGGGTTGAGCATACTGCGTCCAACATTGATCTGCAGAATTTGAAGTCTGTTTTCCCCAATCAGTTATACCAGTGGGTTCTATTTGTAAGAAAACTATTCTAAGCAATCTCTTCTGATGAGTTATTTTATGGGGAAAAAAAACAGAAGCATCACTGGGAACTTATCAAAATTTGATTACAAAAAAAAGATCATTAAGGGGGTGCCGCCTATGAATATCGAACAAAACCCATATTAGGATCTCAAAGGACTACATATATGTGTATACACACCTTACAAAACTAATTTAATACTTTACACTGCTATTTTTATTGTTTTTAATAAACTTTCTTAGAAATTTCTTATTCAATCTTTCGTCACCTAATGTTTTCTATTTCCCAGAATATTTTTTGACCATGTGCTGACATTTGAGTGTCCCATATTGGCAACTATTCTAAACAATATATTATTGTATTCATCAACTATTGTATTTAGTAGTTAAAATTGACGAATGACTGAGTTCAATCAAAGAAAAGCATTTCTCCAACTCGAACTCTCTTTCTTATTATCAAACTGAGTCAAGCATAGTAATACTTGGTTCTGCTTGGCTTGTTTACCCCACCCCCTAGATGAAGGGAGGGCCTAAGCAAGAGGAATTAGGCTGCAATCAGATATGCTGGCTTTAGTTTTATAATTTATAATGGAAAAGCTAAGATGATGTTTAAGGTCAGGTTTATGCTTAAATTTGGTTGATGATTAATGTTGGCTTTGGTGCCGAACTGGAAAATAAAGCTATGCTTGCTTCTTCTGAACAAGAAGGGTTTAACTTTAGAATGGTAGGGCTATCACAGGGTAGGACTTTTGGACGGAAGTCCAAGTTTTGGGGCCAAAAGAAGGGTTGGCTGTGGCTGTTAGTTAAAACAGTTTTGAGCATGGTTAGAATCTTACAATTCATGATTCGATTCATATGATTTTATACAAGTTTCAACTAAAACAATTTGATTCGTGCTGTTGCATCTTAAATTGAGTGAACCTTGCAATTTAATTGCCACTAAGTATGATTTATTGTGATTCTCTAGGATTTGCTAAGAATCACTGTGATTAACTGCGATTCAGTTTTGTTTACATAATGCATAAAGGGTTGTTTTTTGCAAAATAAAAAGATAGATCAATTAATTATATTGATGTATGTGTTTTATATGTATATAAATATATAATTTAATTATATTTCTTTTCATTTCATTTTAAATATAGTGTGTATTTTTATTTGTATATACCTATATAAAATTATAAATAAAGTGAATCTTACCATTCACGATTCACTATTTGTGATGTTCTCTAGATTTCATTTGATTTTTGCTCAACTTGTTAAAGGCATGGAATAATAGCTATTTGTGGTTGTTTACAGAAACTAACATACTCATTTTTTAACAATTATGCAGCTAGAATATGCTGCTCTGGATGCCGCTGTACTCATTCACATATTCCGTCATGTCCGAAGTACTTCTCAGATTGCTTCTGTCCCTGAGGGGCCTGCCAAAATTGAGTGGAAATCCCACATTGTAAGTACATAAAAAGGGCTAAAACATCCATGTTGTAAAATTTTGTGAATCAAATCTGTGTAACAGATTACTTTTCTGGCATAGCATCTGACCTACCTCAGGCAAAGTGTGTTTTTTTTTCACTCTAATTCGTTCAATTTGTTCGGTAGTTTACTGAAAGCTAACTGATTTTGGAATCATCACACAGGTTTCATATGTGGGTAACCCGAAGAAGACCAAAAAGGAAGCTAAAGATGCCGGGATTGATGCGCTTTCACAATTGGTTTATTTCTAAGCTCTAAGCTCTGCGCATTTCATTTTCCATTGCATTTGACTGTTTCTTACTTGTACATATTGGCAACTAGGCAAATGACATTGGCCAGTAATGCTTGCTGCTATGTTTTATTTCGCATTTGTACATATTGAAAACTAGCGTCATGGAAAACTGAGACTGGTCCGTCCTTGATTGACTTTGCTTTCGTAATTTTAAAAAATAAATACAAAGAAAAATTCTCTCTGAATTTTTTTCTGGTTGTGGTTGTGACGGCACCAGATTCACCTTTGGTCAACATAGTTGTGTTGGTGGCCTGGCTTCTTCTAATGATTGAATTTGAAATACTTTCAGAGGGAAATCAGTTTGTGACCGATAATTCCTTGAATTTGTGATATATGTTATGTGGAGTGAGACTTTGTCACTGATTAAACTCACCTTCATAGATGATAAGCTGTATTGGATAATGTTTTTGTCTTGAGGGGTTTTTTCGGGGGGAGGGGAAACCGCCAAATGGCAAGGGTGGATGGAACGTATAAGAGTTAAAAGAAGGAACGTATAAGAGTTAAATGAATTCTTTGCACATTCTAACTTCATGGGAGGCAAGATTTGTACCTTGAATTGGGTGTTTAGGGATTTAGATCATGTTTGTTTGGATTAGGGATTTAGATCATGCTTGTTTTGGTGGATTGGATTAGATGGGATTGGTATTCTTATTATGACTTTCAGTCTTAGAATTATCAATCCATTTGGATTATCTATCTTATTGTATCTTTGGATTGGCTCACGATTATTAGGGGAGATTGACAAATCCTATAAATTTGATAATTTAGCCAATTAGTCCAAATCTATTCTTATTCTTAGTTTTCATTTTGTATTACATCCCCTTGTGAGATTTAAAAGTCCCCCATACGGGGATATTATGTCTGGGTGAATTATTAGTCTGGATTTCAAATCTTTTAGACAGACATAAGATTTTGTATTTTGTTGAATTATTAAACAAACATGATCTTAGGTGTTAGGTGGCTTGGATAATGTTAAAATCTTTTAATTCTGTGATGATGATAATGATCCCAGGCTATGTAGTTAATGCTGTGATAATGATAAATTCTCTTAATCCACATTTGTGTAGTTTGGGGTTAGGATTAGGATTGGGGTTAGGGTAAAGAATGTGACAGTCTAACCAGCAAGAATAGCTATGGCAATGACCTGTTTTCAATGGAAAAATTATTAGGTACTCCAGGGGCATCATGTTTCTACTCCCAACCAATTACCAATTGCCAAGTCTCCATGTTGTTTCTCATGCCTTAACCCAAAGTGGTGAATCTCATTCTTCTACCAATCACAATGCTCCTGGAGCATCACCTGACCATATGTCATAAAACCACCTAATAACTTCTTGTTTCAACATCATCCTATCAATTAAATCTTTCATATGTTTACAACATGAGATGAGAAGATTATATTATTGACTCCAATCCAAATAAGCTTTGCGGAGTTGGCTCCAAATTTTAGTTTATTATTTTCTAACTCTGGTCAATAACAGAAAATGATCTCCCTTATTAACCTCTCCTCCACATATCCATATTTCATATATATACAGCCTATCATCACCAAAACTCTCTCTCTCTCTCTCTCTCTCTCTCTCCAACTCTTCCAAACACAAAGAGGAGAGAGAGAGGGACAGACATGGAAGACTTCTCGAACCCTTACAGAACAAGAAAGCTCGACGTCGTCTATTGCAATGATGGGTATGCTGTCAACAACAGAGACTTATCCTGTGGCTCCGAGCACCCATCCCGCCTCCAGCTGCCGCCTCCCTCCGGTATGTTTGACGGGAACAGAATGACGACGACGACGACGAATGTGACAGTGGCCAAGTCGAAGCGATTGTTTGATGCTCGGGAGATGAAGAGAAAGAAGAGAGTGGTGAAATATAAATGGTATGCTGTTGAAGGAAGGGTAAAGGATTCGTTGAAAAAGGGGTATCGATGGTTCAAGCGCAGGTGCTCTGAGATTGTACGTGGGTTCTAGAGAGAGAAAGTGAGAGAGAGAGAGAGGAGTTGATGATGATTGAAGAGAGAGGAAGCCTTGTGGTTGTGAGTTCTTTATTGATGAATGTATGCATGCATGGCTTGTACGAGCCTTTCTTTTTGTTGTTGTTGTTGTTTTTAGGGTTTGTTTGGTTGCATTTTGATTATTTTTTTCCATTTATGTTTTGGTATGTTTAGTAACAGAAACAGTAAAAAATGGAAAAACATCTATTGTTCTATGAAAACAGTTTTCATGAGAAAACAACTTTCTCACCATTCAATTATTTTTATTATTTTTTATTTTTATAGTTTTATTGTGATTATTATTAGAAATTAAAACCTACAAAATGTGAATTGTTAATGATATATATTTTTTTTATATTAAGAAATATCTTGATAAGTTAATTGTTTTAAGTGATAGGATCACAATTCTACCACATCATTATATATACATTTTTCATATGTATTTTACAGAATCACCTTCCAAAATTTACCAAATGCCAACAACTTTTTCTAACACTCATTGTCCAACAACCTTGAATATCCTTTAATGGCCCACATTAAATTTAAAAAAAAAAAAAAAACTAATAATAAATAGTTGATTTGATTTTTGGAGCAATTACAAATTAGGGTACAAGTTTGTTCCGTACAGAAAAACAAAAACAAAGTTGCACTCCACGAAGATTTCCTCCTCTTCGTAATTATTTACTCCACCTCCCCAGTAATTTGTAGTTTTTTCTTGATTTTCTAGCACAAGTTCATGATTTTGGCCCCATTTGATATAGTTGTTAAAACAGATTATATATTATAATTTAACAGATTATAAATTATGACTTTAATTAGAAGCTATTAATTTGTTTGGTGTAATTGTTGGATTATAAATTTAAGTTGCTGAGTAGTGTTTATTACATAAGCTGTGAAATAGCTTTTTGAATTAATTTTTATTTTTTGTTATTTACTACTTGTCTACATTTCTCATAAAAAATGATAATAATAATCTATAATCCATTTGGGCCTTTTTTTATTTGAAGCTATTAATTTGTTTGGTGTAATTGTTGGATTATAAATTTAAGTTGCTGAGTAGTGTTTATTACATAAGCTGTGAAATAGCTTTTTGAATTAATTTTTATTTTTTGTTATTTACTACTTGTCTACATTTCTCATAAAAAATGATAATAATAATCTATAGTCCATTTGGGTCTTTTTTTATTTTTATTTTTTTTTTAAAAAAACCAAGAGTAATTTTAAATTAACATGTCTACAGTAGAAGCTAACAATCAGAAGTATGGGGTGAGCAACTTCTCAGAATCAACTTTTTTGAGCTAAAATAAACTGCTAGAATCAGAAGTTATTTGAAATAAATTTAACCAAATAGTTCAAAATAGTTTTTTCAAAGATAGAATCTATAAATTGGCAAAAATAAGTCACTCCAAACACCCCTTAAAGACATTTATTTCATTCTAGGATTATCATTCCTTTTGTAATATACTTCTTTGCTTTTGATTTCTTTCCTATTATAACCCCATTATAAAGGCATGAATGGATTGAAGAATTAATTAATGAAAAATGTTATATATAAATTGATTTTTTATTATTAAACACAAATTAAGCAATAATTTTATATGTATTTATTAATATGGGCTCACTACTTTGATGTTTTGTGATAAACAATCGAGTAAGAAAATATTTAGGATGACATACTCTTGATTCATAACTCAATTTAGGAAATTTCTTCGTTAGATTTATTTATGTTTTTTTGTTTTATATATACTATGACTAGGAAATGTTTAGTTGATTGATTTATGAGTTTAAGGAATTGTTTGGGAATGTACTAAATAATTACACTTATTTGAATCACATCATCTTTTTATTTTTTTTGTATTTTTTTCTTCATAAAAAGTCAAAAAATACATTAAATAAGCAAACTTCAAACCGTCCCTAAATTTCACCCATACACAATATAACTTCATATTTTCTTATTTTCTATTGATAATTGTAAAAAATAATATATATGTATATATATATATATATGTATATATATATATATATTATTATATAATAATTGCTTTGCTATGGAAGGCTTGTATTTTTATTCATATTTTGCCCTTGCTTTGTTTTTTAATTTTCCATTTTGGCCTTTTTTTTTTACTTTTTTTTCGGAGGTGTGGACTTTTGAGGGTTGTTTTGGAAAAATCAACTTTCATAGAAGGTATTATTTTTGGATAATTTTAGAGTACTGCTATTAGCACCTATCAATTATTTTAGATTTTTCAATTCTTTGGATCTCCACTTATAAATTTTAAAACCCTTAAAAAAAAAATTTCTCTCCCCAAATAATACTAAAATTATCTTTGTAAAAATATTTCACACATTCAATTGAATGCACACCCTCCACACCCTCAAAAAACCTATCTTTCCAAAACCCTAGCAAAATCTATGAAGGTGATTACTATTTCATCTCCACATACTTGTTCATAACCATACAGTAAGAAAATAAATGTAGATTTTTTAATCTTCAATCCTTAGAATATATCAAGAAGAAATTGGGTTGGGATTTTTGTGCTTGAGAGAAAGAAAAAGAAGAAGAAGAGCCAAGTGTGATTACTGTCAATTGCCCTAACAAGACTGGCTTGGATTGCAATATCTAGCACCTTATCATTTTCTTCGATTTGACCATTGTCAGAGTTGGTTATCTGTTCCCAAATAAATAAGAAATGTTCGGTTACCTGTTCCTGAACAAATAAATAATGTTCGGACTTGTGTTCCCAAATTTCGATCATATGTTCAGGAGTTCAGTCCTGAAAAAATGATGAATAGTTTTATTATTTTTGTAATTTTTTTCAAAAAACTAACTATTACAAAGTCAATCTTCTCTAAGCTAAGAATACCATCAAAACTATGAACTTTGTCTGAGTTTTTATTATTGTACTCCTCTCGTCTCATGAAATTGTGGTTGTTGGAAAAACTTTCACTTATTGTTATTGTCGGAGAAGTGTAAAGTTGCCACTGTTACCGCCGGAATATTGCCGCCACAGAGTTTTCAAAATTTTAAGGGTAGGTAGGTTTTGAAGATGGGATTTGGGAAAAATGGATGAGTGGTGATAGATGTGGGTGCTCTCATAGATCCTAATTCATGATATAGTGAGTGTTGGGGCTTAATTGTAAGATGGGATGTCCCAAAATTATTGATGTCTTTTTTAGTAATTTTATTTGAGGT